CTTTGTGGTCAGACATTAGTTTCTCAGAGGTTAGGTTATGCTTAAACACTTTGAGCTATTACCCTTTGCTAATGGGTATGTGGCTTAGGGAGTGATTTCAAAATTTAGATATGCAAAGTTTTTACTTTGTTCCTAATCTTAGAGGGAAATCACTGAATTTTTTCTATTAAGTATGATTTATTTTTTTTATAATATCGATGTTCTTTATCAGGTTGAAAAGTTTTTCTTTCATTTTCTTCCTGAAAGTTCTAATTTAAATCTTTATTTATGAATTTTGGTAAGTTTTATTTTTTTGTAAGTTTTATTTCCTGGAAATAATTGTTATAATTATAGTTTTTCATCTGTTAACAAAACAAATTACACTGATTAGTTTTCAACTGTAAAACTAGCCTCATATTTTTTTAATAAATAACAGTTGTTACTGTTTTTATGTATTGTTATTATTAAGTGTAGTTGAGTCAGTAATGTCTTATAGTGATCCAGCTTCTTTGCTGGAGTAGAAAGCCTTGTCTTTCTCTTACAGAACAGCTGGCTTGCTTGAACTACCAGCCTTGTGGTTCACAGTCCAGTGCTTATCCTCTAGAGCCACCACACTCCCTATATATTGTTAATGACAAGATTTTAACTTAGAGCTTCTATAATTGTTGTTGTTTTTCATTGCCTCAGTTTAATCAGCTTGGTTGTTTCAAGTGTTTTGCTTATTTTGTATAAGTTGTCAAAGTTATTAGTATAAAATTGGTTATCATACTCTTATATGTCTTCTGTAGGATCTTTTTCATTCTCAGTATTAGAAAATTTGCATTTTGTTTCTTCTTGATCATTTCTTGCTCATGAATTAGCAAATGTTTAAATTGTATCAAAGAATCAATATTTGCTTTGCTAATATTTTATGTGTTTTTTTTTTTCAATTTTATTGATTTCTGATTTTCCTTTGTGTTTTGGATTTATTTTACTTTTTCTTATAACGTATTGAGATAACTTATTCACTGTTTTGAAACCTTTCTATTTTTCAGATATATGTGTTGAGAGCTATAAATTTCTCTAATGATAGCTTTTTATGTATTGTTTTGACATATTGTGTTTTCATTTTCTTTCAACTCAAATGTTTTCTAAGTTCCTTTATGCTTTTCTAATCCTTTTGTTTTTAAAAGTATTTAATTATTGAATGTATGAGGATTTTCTAGGTATCTGTTGTTGCTGTCTCATTTTAATTGAGGACAGATGATATAGTCCCTATGATTTCAATCATTTGAATTTGATTTAGACTTCCTATATACTCTTTTTTTTTTCAATTTGTTTTGGGGTTTTTTAAGTCAACAGTTTTGGGGTTATAGTTCTATAAATATTAAGTTGAAAAAATAGTGTCCAAAATTGATTCTATCAATAATTGACAGTGGCATTTTAAAATCTATAACTATGTTTGTCTGTTTCTTTTTAGTTTTGTTGATTTTTGCCTT